TGGGATATTTGGTTCAAGCATTGTTTTGCTAACTGCTTCTATGGGACTTAGGTGTTAAGCCACTATTTTATGCTAAGTTCTGAGATTGTACAGGGACCAAAGTTTCGCATTATCCACAGCGGTCCTACTTACCAGCAGCACTGCCTGAGGCAGCTCCAGCTTCTTCGGCTGCGGGTTCTTCTGCGGCAGCAGCTTCATCATCCTGTTTCTTGCCTTCATCTGTGATAAACGTAAAACAAAACATTCGAGCTCTGTTTTGCTTAGGGAGGAATTCTGAACTTATTCCTGCGAAGTCGGTTGAATTGGTTGCAAAGCTAATCACGTCCAAAACTAAAACTTTTGTAGTATGATTTGGCCCACTTGAAGTTCCTTGGGCTCTTTTTTCACCAAATCATCGTTCAATTGTATTGATTTGCCTCCTTCAGAAACTGGTTCTATTTTTGCTTAACAACTATGACGAAACGGATACATTGTGAGACTGATCACTGTTCATGAGAGAAAAGTAGTTGAAATCAGTCGAATCAAAGCAATTACGTCAAGCAAGACGAGTCAATGTTAGGTCAACGTAAGGCAAGAAATTTCAAGTGATGTCAATTGAATTTAAGTGAAGTGCAGTCAGATCAAAGTAAGTGAATTGAAGCCGGGTCAGGTCAAGTTAAGTCAAACTAAATCAAAGGCTAACAAAACAAAAGCTATTTTCAGATCAGGAAAGGATTGATAAAGACTCCGGTTAACTTAAACTTGAAGGTGTCCGTTTTGGGGGAACGGTGCAGTGCATTTCTGCGTAAATCCAGACATTGGACGGGAAATGCGATAAAATTAAAAATTTCCCCAATAAATAGTGAAAAATTACGTTCTACAATCGCTTAGAATATTGTATTCCAAGTTCGATTTTAAATCTGCCACAGAATTTAGGGCAGTTGAAATTCAAGGTATAGCACTGGAGATGAATGACTGCAAGCCCCAGATCCCCATACGTGTTTCAGTTGTGCCGTGTAAACGCTCGCAAAGTAGCAAAACGCATGCGTAGTTCACAATTACAATGCAATGAGAATTGTAATGAGGGTCGGGATGAGGTTAAATTGAAAGCTTAGAAATGGAAAACATTTAAACTGTCTCGAAGCTGAGAAATGACGCTATTGTAAACTAATAGCTGAAATATGAGACCTGCAAAATTCACTGATGGCTGAGAAATGGCTTGAAATTAGCTGAGAAATCGCCCAAATTTTAATTGATAACTGAATTTCTATCGACCACATCCAGATCGTCTCGTACTTGGTAATACTTCTAAGAGCGAAAAAGGCCAACTATTTAGATAACTCTTACAAACCACTAGAAGTTAGGGGCGTCCCATCCACATGCAGGGGTCAGTTGAAACGTGGACAAGAGAGCGAGTCATGTATTACCTTTCACGAGCCCAGAAGAAATGAGAGCTGTTAGAAGCTTACCGTGCTTGGATTTCTTGTGTTTTCCTTTGGCAGTGCAGGAGAGAGAGAAAAAAAGAAACATTTATAACATAAACTTTACAATGTTTATTCGGAAGAAAAAGTATTGTTCGTATTTAGTTGATTATTTTTGCTGATGAGGAGTTATCAACAAGTTTCCAGCTATATTTACTTGTTTGTACAGTACCTAACAATCAGTTATAATGCTGGAAGCTGTGAAGCTGTTTTAGGAGTTAATTCAATGAAGGAAATATCTTGTCTGTTTGGGGTATCAAACAAAACACCATCAATGTACCAGTTTTTGATATGAAGTTACTCTGTTTCACAAATCGAGTAAGCGAGATGCGAAGGGCTGAGCAAAATGACACAATAAGTATAATCTCAATCAGCCAGAATATTTGCAACTTTCTAACGCATTCTGACAGGTACGTGACATTGATTCTAAAATTAAGATTGGAAGAAAGCAATGGCTAAGTATGTGTAAATTAAAGGCAACTCAAAAAGTCATCGAGCCAAATTATAGATCACTTGAATTTTCCAATGTCTAATAGTCACTTCACAGCAACATTAAAATAAACAAGTGGTACAATCACTTGAAATTTTCTGAAAGTCAAAACACTGGGGAAACAAAGAAATACGTGGTAGAGTGAAAATTGCGGTGGGAACCAGCCAGCTCTTTTTGTTTGTGATAGACGTCTCGGAACAATTTTGCGTTCCCCATCCGTTTTATTACTATGTGTACACTTATATAATACTCTTAACCCTATCTAGCAGTAAACTTCACATGGAAAATACCCCTTCAAAGAGCGTTTGAAATAAGCTAAAAAAAAAAAAACAATTATAGGTGTCCCATCATAGAAGATGAAGAGAACAACACATTGAATGCAATGAAATATTAACTCGTTGAACTTATCCAACCGTGGCACAAAGAAATGCAGTTAAGTTGGGTTGATATGCTTTCTAGACAAATAAAAGCACAGAAGATGTTTCTGCTTTCAGACTCACTGGCATTAATGGAAAAAAAAAAATATCTTTTTTCTTAAACCACAATGCGATCAATTTGAGATAGGTCCAAGAAAGATTCGCTTACCTTTTAGTGACTTGGCATCCACATTCAATGTGGAAAGAGTTAGACCTAAAAGCACGAGAAATACGAAAAATCTAAGCCTCATTTTCCTGCGGAGAGAAAAAAGAAAAAAACCGTTACTCGTTGTGGAAGAATTAATCTCAGAGCTAGTGTATTAAATTGTTTTGGCTCGTAACTGTTCTGGTTCACCAGCTTGAAGAGCGGGCGGTTCTCTTGATGAACCAGAAAATTTTAAGAGCGTTTCTAAGGCGACAGTCTGTTAAAGCTGACAGTAACCTCCCCTTAGTGAATTAAATGAAGCAGAGATTTCAAATTTGAAGAAATACCTTCTTTCAATAGCCTTTTCCACCCAGGAGAAACGTTCTTTGTTGTTATTATACTACGGGGCAAAAGACAAGAGAGCAACCCTCGTTATCTACCTCTGATGTAAGAATAGGCAAAAGGTTATCGACCTGTCGTTCACGGTACCGGTATTATCCATTGTTCCCTAGCTAATCAAGCGTTGAATTTTTCATGGTCGGTGGAAGAGGACTGAAACCGTAATGCAAACGTGACCCCGGAAAATTAGCTTGTTCTGGTCAAAGGGCGTCATGGGCCATGCAAATCATCCACCACGAATGCTTGTAAAATTGGGATGGGATGAAACCCGAGGAATAACAGAAACCACGTGCTCATTTAAGAAGACAAGATAAAGACAGGGATCAAAGAGTTAATAAACATCCGTCAAGGTGTCGAGAATTTTAATGACTGCGCATGTGCACGCATAATTGTTGAGGAAGAACTTTCAAGTGAATGCTGGTGCTAAGAACCACTACAAACGGCTTCTGGTGGCTTGCTTTAAAAACTGAACTTTTTCTCAGCTTTTTTCGCTCGAGGATGGATTAATAAAAAAAGGAGTATATGGGAAACTTTGAAATCAGCGTACCTGAGCTCGTACAGGCGAAAAGTAAAAATTTTTTGGGGATACACATCCTAAGCAAGAAACCAAACACAGCTTTTCGTCTTGGCCGGCGATCACTTAATTATTAAGTGTCACTGGATATGTCAATTTTGTCCTTTATTCTGATGCAGATCAGGTTTCATCTCTCTTATTAAAGAACTGGTTAAAGTCTTTCAGTCCAAACTGCGCCAAAAAAGACAAAAAACCTTTCAGCGCTGGCTATTTCGTTCGGCCTGAACGAAGAATCTTTTGACGAACCAATCGGGAAACAGTGTTGCAATACCAACTGTCTGCTGGTTAGCTGTTGGTACTCAAGAGTTGGTCAACAAATCAATTTTCTCACTAGCGCTTGCGGCTTGCCGCGCGCGTTTTATCTCCCTAGTTAATCAATGTACTGGCAAACTTTTAAATTATAGAGCGTGGAGCAAATTAGAACAAGAGTCAACGAGACGGTTGATGGATAAAAGCTGCTATATGGTCAGGAAATAAATTTCTTTCTGTCCGGAGATAATCCCAGTTTTTTAATGCGCATTAATCTTCTCCTATCTCACTCATCCTTGCCTCTTTTACGCGCGTTGCCGGTTGTTCTAGGAAACCGTTATTTTGAGAATTCTATGATTTCAGGAACTTCGCATGAAAGAACTCATTTACATGCTAAAAGATCAATATACAACACAGCATTTCTAGTTTCCATCGAGCTGACAATACGTCAATCGTGGAATCCACGGTCAATAGAGATCAACCCAGAACTACGAATAGGCTTTACCTGTAAGGCTGGTTTCCATATGATCGCTACGAAAAATGCGACAAACAATGTCCTGCAATTTATGGGAGGCAGCATGGCCGAGAGGTGCAATCATTTGAAAACTGGTAGTAGTAAAGTTGATCAACTTTTTTTGTTGCGATCCCAACGATCCCAGCGGTCGTAGTAATTGTAGAAACCAGCCTTTATAGAACCATTGACAGTCCAGACCATGGCAATGAGGGAACTGATATTCGACCATCTTACTGCTTATGTCACAAAGCCATATTCAATGCTTTTGCAAAGAGCTCGTTCTTGCAAGCTGAGGGACTGGAGACAATCTCTTGCCCGTGTTTGCAACATTCGGCGATCAAGCACTATCACACAGCGATGGTATCAGTTTGCGAAAATTTTCCGAGATCGTATTTAACATCCCTGAGGATCTCTAACCAACATAATTTGTCGCTGTTATGGCGCGAAAATGTTTGGAGGGAGAGTCGCAAGTACTTATATTTTTTTCTTTTTTTAAACATAAGAGAATGCAAAACTCGTAGAGTGTTTCAGCAGAAGCTGTTTTGCCCAAAGCAGTACTCGTTACCCAATTGAAAACGCCTTTGGGTTCTTTTTATATACACTTTTCGTCGACCAAGCGCCGGTCGATACTTGCAATCGGCTTGTCGGCCGAGTGTGATTTCTCATGCTTTTGATAGCACACAGAAGTATGAAACAATTGTACGCTACATGTATATAACACCTTATTTTCAAAGGGAACCTAGTCTGACTTTCAACTCCCTCGTTTAGTTAGACATGTGGGCAAAATTTTGTTACTGTCTGAGAGTTACTGTCTGTTGAAAGTTAATTGGGTTTTTATTTTCAGTTGATTTGATTTTGAACAGAATGTTAATGAAGACAGCTGAGACCCGTTGTGATACTGCGGTGAATTCAGGATGAGATCTCTTTATTGGGCCATATTTTGAGAATCGCATTTAATGACATTGATCTCAACAGTGAAAGTAAGTCTGCTCGAGGACTTTCTAAGAGAATAGTAGATGTAGATATGAAAGTAATGCTCGAGAACGTTTTGGTGCAGAATCGAATTAGGATGTGATTAGCTGTATTCTTTTTTCTTTTAACCATATTTCTAACTCCAATCGCCAGAGTTGTACATCAGGGAACATCGGGGCACTGTGTCATATGCGCAGAAGTCAAAATAAAAGACACTATCAGTTTTATTGAAACGTTATTCTCTTTTTTATTTCTTCCGAACTTAAAAAGTTCGTTGATCATTGTATCATTTTACATCAAAATTCCACTATGAAATTATAGCAAAATAAATAACAGTGGAGAATTTTGCAATAAATTGCAAATTACGATTCTTAATTCATTTCTTTTTTTGGTAAACTGGGCAACAGCCATTTGGAGGACCTGGTGGGGCGGGCATACCAGGGGCTCCGGGGGCTCCGGGAGGTCCTGGTGGTCCGGGATCGCCAGCCGGTCCCCTTTGTCCTATATTTCCGGGGGGCCCCTGCGGTCCGGCGTTACCCTCAGGTCCGGCATATGAAACATATTGTCGCTTGGCTGAAATGAAACACAAATGTCATGTTGAGCTTGTTACGTGCAGTATTAACCCATCAGTACAGATAATTGTCACGATACCCATATATGGTCAGGACGTCTTCATAATCTGTCATCCGTGCATAAAACAGATATCTTGCAATACAAGCAGTTTGGCATATTTGGAAGCCTGTTCATAGCCTTCAGTTATCGCAGAGCTCTACACCACCACATTTATCTAGCTGTAAGGAAATGCGATTCATCGCCAAGTTGTTGGACAATGGGAATCATAGTCTTACAGAATTGTCGTCTACATTTAGCCAGTTCGTTCCACCGTTTTGCTAGTTAAATTTCGAGTGCCTCCACGAGATAATTGAGCAAACTGACATGCTGAACTTAGAAGTCAAAATTCTTATCGGTTGCGAGATATTTTCAGAAATTTGAGTCATTTGAGTCGTTCTACCAAAATTCTATCCTATGTATTTTTAGTTCCCTTTAATAATTGGTGCGTCTTATTTCCACGATGCATGTTTCGTACGAAGAAAGTCTCAGCTTCTCTGAGAAATGCTTACTTAGGAACGATCGCATTAGAGCCAATTTTTACGTTTTTCGAGGCGAGAACAAAATTGTTTATGTACTGTGCAAATGGCCGTCCTCCTGATTTTTTCCTAGCAGGGCTGGTGGCTGTACACTGGCTAACAGAGTAGAAAATAGATCTCTCTCTTTCTGCTCCCCAGGCGTGCATTTTCTTTCCCTTTCATTATTGCAAAGATTGTTGGTCGTATGAGTAAATTTCTACTTATAAATCCTTAAATGAATTTTTTAGACCCATTTTTCGCAGACAAAAATAAAACGCACACGCTTCCAGCTGTCGTGTTTTATCTATCTGGTGGCCAGAGTTCTAAGGGTCACGACCCAGTGTTCACAAATGTGACCTGCTTTTTCGAATCGTCTGAGTCATTTTCTGTTCAGAAACTGTAATAAAGCACTGCAATTTTGGCATAAAAGGGTAAAGCGAAACCATCCGGTATCAGTTATACTTTGAGTTAATACATTTCTCTCTCTCTTTTAAGTTAGAACCCATTTCTTCAGTTGAGTAACATTTCGAAAAGTCAAAGAAAATCAATAACATCATACTATGTTTAAAGGCACTCCTTGTCGTAAGGAAGTATGTAATAGAATCAAAGTGGAGAAAAGTGCCAACGTATAAAGTACTTACTGTTAAATGCACCAGCAGAACAAATCAATCCAAGTGTAAACAACAATAGAAAGCGGATATCCATGTTGACTCTCAAATAGACAAAACAAAAATAAATTGTCAGAGAACTTCACTTTACTTTATGGACTTTATGATGTGTATATCAAATCTGGCATACTTTAGGGCTGAAATATATAAATTTTGCTTCATTTAAATTTGTAGAAACATAAATCTTTCGTCGTTGTAAATGAAATTCGATTGTTGGTTTAGACATAACGAAAATAGCTCGCATATATGACTAATTTTAAGTTTTGATTTACAGATTAATTCTCACATCATCAAGCTTTAAAATAAACCTTTGTTTATAGCCATAAAGCAGCAAACAGACCTACCTTTTAGTATATCTACCAAAACAAATTGTTTAGCATTTAGCGGTTCACTGACTTTAACCTGTGATCTCAAACTCGATTGAGCAGGTAATGCCAAACATATTTCACACCTTACGTCTCCCAGACGACCCGACAATACGCTCATGCGCAGTAAAGAGTGAGCGGGTCATTTGTCACCTGGCTAATCGGCGATTCATTTTCTGTCAACTCGTTTTGTTTTCTTGCTAATCTGGGTACATTAATACAAACACAAAATATGGGCCATGTTATTAAGAGTTTCATGATAATCTTACTGCTAGTGCCTTTTTGTGAGTAACAATGAAATATTGTCCGTGGGGCAATGTTGTTGGTCTGTCACGTGTTATCCTTCTATTCGAATCGCTTGACGTAAGCGAGCTATCCGTTGGCAGGTTAATGAGGTTCGCGCTCAGTGGCTCGGTGGAACTGTAAGAGCAATTTTCTGTGAATAAACTTCTGACACCCTGTACAGAGAACAAGACCTTCTCTTAAATGTGTGGTGCACATTGCGTCCCACGAGATTCCGGCCAAATATCTGCTAGACTCAGAAATAGTGGCCAGGCTCAATCAACAAGCAGGACAGCCAGCTTGGCCTTGTGGCAAGATTCAAAATTGCGGTCAGAGATCAAAATTGCGGCCAGATTTAAGGTGGCATAGAACACCTAAAAGTCAAAGAGCCCTCAGCTGTCAAAAGAATAATGAGATGTGACCTTAAGATGAAATGGTCAGTTGCTAAGAGTGTGTAGTGTTCCTGGTTGTTGAATTCAAGTTGAAAACCGCCTTTGTTGTCTTGCTTCGATGGATCCCACGGTTTGACATATTCACGCATCAGTTGAACTGATGTTAGGCGCACTATTAACTCAACCCTTAACACTTAAGCAGTTGTCACAATTCACCAACCTCAAGGATCATTTTTCAGCTTTTACAGATTTGTTAGAAAAGAAAATATGAAAAGAGAAAAGAGGAGAAATGAGAACTACCATTTTCCAAGGGATGAGATTTAATCAAAGACCTCAGGAATTGTTAATAAAAGCGGATTTATTTTCTCACCTTATATTATTTACTACATGTCGTTGCTATATTTGATACTCGTTTTAACTGTTTTTAATTATTTTTTTGGTATTATTTCTGCAGCCGGTAATCAGACCAACTTTGCTTATTATAATATAATCTTTAAACACTTCTCTTTTAAAGCGAAAGAAGAAGTTAATAATAGAAAATAAATCTCTTTCTCCAGATAAGCATAAAAGAAAAGCATATTTTAAAAAGTAACGTCGACGTTCGAAAGCCGTACCGTTTAATTATCTGATAGCTATAATATAGAAAATACTTTCCATACGTGCACGTGTACAGTGTTTATACCAAAAGAAAGAGCTGCATTTATCCAAAATTTTTAACATGGATTCCATGGTGGAGAAAGCTCGAAACATTTACTTTCCTGGAGGTGGCACCACGGCACAGCACGGGCTTGGGGGACCAGGAGGTGCAGGCGGTCCGGGTGGTCCGGGGGGGCCTGGTGGTCCTGGGGCTCCGGCGGCCCCTGGAGGCCCTTGACCTCCCGCCACTCCTGGCGGTCCCTGTGATCCGGGATGTCCAGCAATTCCATAAATCGGAGGCGGAGCAGGCTTCATTTGGTCTGCGACTTGCGGAATGGGTGGATTTGGTCCGGCTGGGGGAGGACTGCCACAGCAGGATGCTGTACATGTTGGGGCGCAAGCTGGAGTGCAGCTCGCTCCACAGGGGAAGGCAGAACGCTTTGCTGTGAAACGGGGCAGAGGTTCAGAAGGATTTTGTCATTTAGAAAATCTGAGAAGATCTTTCTTTAACGTCCATTGACCCAGGGGCACCACATGTTTATCTTACAGTTTACGTGTATTTAAAAGTACCATCTTAAACGCAATCAGTCAGTCAGTCAGTCAGTCGGTTAGTCAGTTAATAGTCAGTCAGTCAGTCAGTCAGTCAGACGGTTGGTCGGTCCGTCAGTCAGTCAGTCAGTTGGTCAGCTGGTTAGTTAATAGTCAGTCAGTCAGTCAGTCAGTCAGTCAGTCAAACGGTTGGTCGGTCGCTTTGTCAGTCGGTCAGTAAGTTACCAATCAAACCGTCTCTCTATCTCTATTCATCAGATAACAATGTTAAATAATGAGGACTTATCACATTCAGTAGGTGTGTAACGGAAGCCCTGTTCTGGATATAAGTGGTGTACTAAACGTGCTGGCAGTATAACTAAATAATGTTTTTGATAGCTAGATGTTCGCATAACAAATAACGGCCTATACATTTGACACTTACTGTGCAAAGCTGAGGCGGTGTAGGCAAGGCCTAACGTGAATAACAGAGCTAAACGACAATCCATGATGCTTTCTGTCGAGATAGAAAACAGATGGCTTGAGGTACAATCAGCTTTAACATAGCACTACTTATCCTAATTACACATAGTTAGAAGTCAATGTGTAACTGTTAGGTATAACATTTTGACGTTCATGAATCAAGAGTCACTTTTGTTTGATAAAAGTTTTCCGAAGCCCCAGAAACTGCTATCCACAATAATTACGGGACCGTGGTCTCTGCGATTGAGTGTGGCTGTTAGATTTTCAGTCTTTATGTTTGGAATTTCCAAAAAATGCTTTGATTTTCCGAATCTTAGCGAAATGAAATACATTTTTTGTTCTTCATCACTATATAGTTTTCTTGCCGTCTTAAAAAATGCTCTACTATTTTAAAGAACTCAGTTCTTACCTGGCGCCCTGATTCACGCACCAAAAGCAGCGAGTGATCCTCAAAGAAAATCCTTAATTTTTATTTCATAAGTTTGATCGACGGTAAGGTATTGAAATTTTTTTATTGTTACGTGTTTTGTTAACGTTCTTGTGCAGCAGGTCTATGAAACTAAAGTGATAAACAAAATTTTGAGAAAGAGCAGGTATTACGTTTTTTGTGTGAAACATCCAGTGATTCCGTTTTACTTTGCTTAGAGATTGATAAGCATAAGCTTGAAGTCCAGGAAAATTCAGTAAAAGGTAGATTTTTCCTGAATGTGCAGTACCTCTTGTCAACTCAATCAACTAAGATATTGAAATAATCTGGTTGGAATTCCAAGAATATGTAAAAACCTTAAATAAGGTGAAGACATGGTGCTAAAACGGCCCCCTCCGTTTGCGACACCTACGATGCGTGTACAGACACATTAGTAGAGCCAACATCGTTAAATTATCGAAGTTTCCATGCACGGTTGGACACAACGAAAATGGCGCCTTTCCCTTTCGGACTTTGTTCAACTTAATTAAAAGCGGGGGAGGGGTGGATGTTCATGTTATTGCTGTAGGGTAGAAAAATGGACCCCTTTGTGAACTGTTAGCCTTGTTGGCAGCTCCTTTTTGGGTACGCCTAGAAAATTGGTCAATTTTAACCCTAGGATTTCCCGTTGTTTTACGTTAAAATGCTTAGGAAATCGTAGGCTATCGATTTGAATTGGAAGGAAAATGAAATTTGCGACTTCTTTGCCTGTTGAAAGTAAAACAGCTAAGTTTTGGGGAAGTTTCGATTAGAAGCTTGTTCAACCACTAAATTCTTCTCCATTGATTTCTTTTAGTGGCATTTATGAGATTTTGTCAGTAAATCACACAATTACTTCATGCATGTTTTTTTGTCATGCACCTTTTTGCTTGGCAATATGATATATTAAAAAAGTTGATATTGGCTGTTCACAGGAATAAACCCAACGCTACAGTAACTGAAGAAGGAAAAGTACCACGATATCTCATTAGAACATTCAAGGATACACGTAGCTGACCAAATATTCCTCGGTAAAAAAATATTATCCCCCGACGCTCCGTTAAAAAGGTCCTGTTGCTGTTTCCTAGATAAAGTAATAGAGAGGTATATTTTTTCCCATAAAACGTTAATGTGCTGCTCGCATACATAAACGAAAACTATTACGAGAAAAACGACATTCCTAACTTTTTGAGTGGAACCATTTTCGGTCCTGGGATCATTTTCGGCACAATTTGGGGATCATTTGGGGGCCTGTACATTTTCCTCAAACAGAAGATTCCTGCCGCTTCTGTCAGCAGCTTTGCATCACCAGGAACATTTTCATCCCATGCGACAACAACAACAACAATAACAACAATAACAACGAACAGCATCAGAAGCAACAACATCTTAATAACAGTAACAACAACAACAACAACAACAACAACAATAATAATAATAATAATAATAATAATAATAATAATAACAATAATAATAATAAAACAGCAACAGAAGAAGCAGCCAAAACGTAACCTGGTGAACCAGCTAACAACAAAACCAATGAGTTAATACAAATCATCTTTATTTGTATTTTTGAAGTGAGAATTTTACATTCCTTTTGCGATAAAACGCATATGTTAATGATTACTTTGTATGTACATTGAAGCTCCTAACAAAAACAATAAGTTTGAAAAAGGAACTTATGAGAAAAAACATTTTCATGCACACCGGTATAAACTACTATAACGTGAGCTATGAGCAACATTATGAATGAAAACACTGAGATCATATCCTTCATAAAAAGACGGGAATGCAGCGAGTTTTGTTTTTAGAATATTAAAAACGAAGATTATTTAAATTAAACTAAAGAACTTTGACGTTCCACCAGATCGAAATTGGCAGTGTCTAAGTTACCAGACGTATGTCAGATATAACTATCATTGCTGCGAGTCGAATCTGGAAGTGTAGCAGTTCCCGTAGGCTTGTAATTCCGTTTGGGGCTAAGTGCATCGTTTCTGCCTTCTGTTTTATTGTTCTTTCAAAGGGTATTGCGTCATTCGTGGGAGACCTTGCAAGAGCTGCTACCGACCGATCGAATCTCAAAAAGAGGAATTTAACGTCCAGGGGGCCCTGGGGGTCCGGGTGGTCCAGGAGGTCCTACACATCCGGGACATCCTTTGGGTCCATTTGGCCCTGGCAATCCACATATACCATCAAAACCGGGAGGTCCTGGGATTAACTGTGGTGTGGGAGCCGGAAACGGGGGAGGCGGCGGAGGTGGCGGAGGATACGGAGGAGGAAGACGGGAGGCGCAGCAGGAAAATATGCATCCCCTTTTACAAACGTTCGTGCAGCACTTCCTACAGCATGACCTAGAACAAGGCAGAGGGTTGCTTCTCAAGACTTTGTTAACTGAAATGATTGCAAAGAGAATATCTTTGTCAATTTGGTTGTTAAAAAAGTTACAAAATTGATAAAGTTGCAAGTTAAATCAGATTAAGAATGTTAAAAGTCTAATTCACAATTATTTCACTCGCAGTTGTTGGATATGAGATGGTAGATAGCCAACGAGGCGCGTAGCGTTGAGTTGGCTATAACTATCTCATATACAACAAACGCAAGTGGACTAATAGTTTTTATTAAAAACGCCCCCAAAATATTGAAAACGTAAGACGTACGTTTACCATATTTGTAGAGCGTAATATAATGGCTCATATACCATGATGGCTAAGCCAGTGAAATCTCTTGAATTGCATTATCTAATGATCTAGTTTTTAATAAGCTTGATTATTTCGAGGAAGTTTAGACAGTTTTTTTTTTCAATTGGCAACGGTTAACGTTGTGTCACCCAAATAATAAAGCTTATCCACCACCAGTATTGTTTTTTTTTTTTAAAGTACTTGGCAAAAATTGACTACCACCTTTGGAGGGACATTTACCAACGTGGCTTATCTGCAAATGATACCAAAACCAATTACTATGTTTCGACAGACTCTGTTAAAATGTTTAGCCCCTTAATATAGCTTAATATCATTCAAAAGCTTGAATAATGATGGCACTTGTTATTAGTTTTCTTGCTTGTGCCAATCAACTATAAACTAGCATTGTTTATATAGCTGGTGAGTGACAATTAATATGAATTATGACGCTGAGAAATGAAAGTGCATCATCACATTAGTTTTCTTAATAAACTTAAGGGGATCTTTCATTCATTTAAAAACAAATAGTTGAATACAAGTTTTTGCTCCGTAAAGCTCTTGATTTTTTTTATAGATTTTCAAAAGCTGGTTGAGTTATTTATCATAAATGACAGGTATGATCGGGGAATCAGTAATAACGTGCTTGATTTTGCTGTCTTAGAAAGAAGAAAGATTAAATCAACTGACAGTAACATAGAACAAAAATTAGCTATTAATATATTTTTCATTTGATGAAAAAGAACTTACCGAATTCTTCCATTGGTTTTGCATTAGCAACATAGATCACAGATATAAACACCGCTAAGACTGCTATCTTAATGTCCATTTTTATATACCTGTAAAAAAACCAAGATGGAACAATAGTTAATGCCAGTCATTTGGAAAAAGTTGTGACGGAACTAATTCACAAAAAAATGATCAGAATACCTTTTTTGGAAATTGATCAACTTTCACTGAATTGTGTGTTCAGCGAAAAGAAGTCGACTAACCGTCCTCAACTGCTTTGCATTGTTTAACCTGTCAGTGCAAATTGAGAAGTCTGACGCTATCTGTTGAACACCTCTGTGTATAAACATAACCGGTGTTTCATGGAATTTATAGCTTCAGTTTATAATATCGTTATACTCCCGAACGGCAATCCGCGGCTTGTTGCATTTATATCAGGAACTTCTAAGACATGCAAATGTAATGAACGTCTTTGAAGCCAAAGCCATCTGGTGTATTAAAAATTGGAATGTCGAAACTTTAGCGAACGGACTGAGTACTAGTCTCTGCATTTTCGTTCCCAGAGCCGTCTATGCTCCTCTTAGCCGACGGGGCCTAGGTGAGAGGAGAAGTTGGCTCTCGGGACATATGCCTTGGCTACTCTTGGATTCTTGGACTACGATTTTCACTGATTCCATGTTGGTTTCCTTTTTGAGAATGTCACTGGTTGATATCAAAGACCAACTTAACACATAAATGAGATCATTACCATAGTCTGGATGTGTTTACCTTCCTCTTTAACAACAATTATAATACATTTCTCAACCTCCAACCTCTTTATTTCTATTAATCACTTTCGAGAGCGAATAATCTAATTGTTTTAGTAGAATTCTTACTAAATTTACTTCAAATAACGGTTTCCAATTATTTCTTGACGCATTATTAAACTTTGCGCCTGAAAAAGGTCGCTCAGACTGAATTGTCATTTAAAATTGAAGTTGTGTGTGTCAAGAAACCGTAAATGCCCTTCATTTCGACTTTTCAGGAATGTAATTATCCATTTGCATCAAAATTCTCCTCCAAAACTTTGGAAAAACGAAAAGCACGTTGCCATTTCCTAGACGACCTCCAGCCACTGCACACTAATGGCTGATATGGCTCAGCCAATCAGATTACAGCATTTGCAATAGAATACTAGTAGAATTCTACTAATCTCCTTTATTGTTGTTATTATTTTTAGTTATTTTTTTGCATTATCTTGCGGTACATGCGGCTACATTGTAGTTTGTTGATCCCTCAACATTAGTGCATACTCTAACATCGAACATCTAATATCTAACAGTTTGACCTATCTTTTTAGTTAATGTCATTTTGGTGATCAGTGACCATGTTAATTAAATTATTTTTTGGAAACTGATCTTGTAGAAACTTTTAATAACGAGATTTCCGGCTCAGTTCCTGTTGCCTTGGTCAGAATTAGCTAGAAACAGTGTCTCCGCATGTATAATCAGTTCTTATTTGCTGTGGTCCCAAGGGACGCTGCTAAAGGTAAATTAGCTTGCGGCAAGCGTATGTGTTCGTTAACGGAGGTGCGGTCTTTAAATACCTTTGATAAAATCTGTTATAAGCCGGTCTTTAAGCGCTGTAATCGAATGGTTTTAGTTAGAAATCAACCAGTGGATGCTTTCGAAATGGAAATAAACGTTGAATTAGTGAAAATATTTGTCCAAAATATTAGCTAGTTAAATCATGTGTCTCCAGAGGCAGATTTTCTCTCTTGCCAAGGCCCCACCTGCCAATAGAGACGTATTGACGCATTTAGGGGCGGGAAAGTGGTCTCAGGATTCTCATATTTAGCCACTGGAGGCATCTAGTCCCATTTTCAGTATTTCATGTCAACGTCGCCTAGCCTAGAAATGGGACCCACCAGTTTCACTCAAAATATGACATAAAAGCAGCCAAGGTTGTACCGTTTATTAGCCTGTAATGCAGGCGTATTTTGGCAAGGAAGCGCATTTTGATTAAGCCAACGTCATCTTGGATTCATGCTCGGAAGAGGCTCGGGGAAAGCCACAATGCGTCTTAGGAAGTAGGAGTAAGGTTGAAAGAGGAGTAGGGATTGGGAAGGGGAAGGTAAAATACCTTTTGTCCCCCCCCCC